TGACCATGCTTCCAAAACCCACTGAAAATTATCTAGGCCTGATCAGGGATCTGAAATTAGAATCCTGGTTACTTCTCCTAGTGAAACCACTGCTAATGCTATTTATAGCATTATTACTTATATGCTGCTCATTATTTGGATCATGTTTGCTCAGACTCAGTCAAGTTTGTTTCTTCCCAATTGTCAGACTTAAAGCTACTGATGATGCTGCAGACAAAACCACTCCCAGATGTTCCTCCTGGTTTCTAGTCACGGTCCTTAGACCTCGCAGCAGTAGATCCTGATGGCTATACTGTCAATGCCCCTTCTTAGCCAAAAGCAGCAAATACTGAGGGCTCCTCTCCCCTAATGGCAGTTACGGTTACCACTGTCCAGGGACTGAGACCAGGAGACAGGAAAACCACAGGCAGTTAGCACAAGGGTCTAAGTAAACTGACATGAGCTCCAGGAAGTCAAAATGCAAAAGATTCTATGATTCTGCTATCAGAGGCCATGCTACCAATAACAACCACACTGTTTCTAAGGACAAGGGCTTGGGTAAACTGAGGTAAGTCCTGGGCAGTTTGGATGCAGAGAAAGTCTGCCATCCTGAAGTCAGAGGCATACCTAGGAGCTTGACTGCATTTCACTTTCACATATAAACACCTAGACTTAGGCCCTGCACGACATCCTCCCTTCCAGTCCCTCCTTGCCAGCCAGCAAGAGTTTTCCTTTGTTCTTTCTAACAAACTATAGCTGGGTCATTTCCCACTGTTATGATTATGGATCTCATTTTTCATCATGTTTAAAACAGAAACCCAGGGAAAGGAAAAATTAGTAACACGGTTTTGTGTATACTCTAGGACTAAGCAAATAACTGACAGCTTCTTGCTGACAGGGGAGACAGAGGGAAAGAGAACATGGGTCAGTGGATTATTCCCAGGACAGCTAGCTGTGCTCCATGAGGCACAGAGCCTCTCCAGGAGTCAGAACCAGAACAGAGTGCACACAAGCACAAGCGCAGAGCTGTGCTCCAAGAAGACTTCACTAACAAGACAGCTGTGGGCACAGTTTACAGATCCCTGGCTGGAATAAACTCAGGGATGGGAACTGGAAGTATCTGGACAACTGGTCTTAGATGGACACAGTAATGAAAAACTAAATTTAGGTCTACAGACTGAGCAGAGTTCTGTCAACACCAACTTCCTGGTTTTCGTACTTGATGCTAACAGGGAATCTAAGTGAATGGTACAGAGAATTTCTATTATTTTTTATTTTAAGTTTTGTTTTGTTGAGACAGGGTCTCAATCTGTTGTTCAGGCTGGCTTGAACTCACTATGTAGCCTAGGATGATCTCAAACTCACAGGGATCTTCCAGGCCCAGACTGCCGAATGCTGGGATTACAGGCATGTGCCACGCCCAGCTGTTTTGAAATAATTGTAGACTTACATGAGGATGTAGAATTATACAGATATACACTCTGGACCACTCAACTTTCCACAAAGGCTGATATTTACATAACTACATAGGATGTTATCAAAACCTGGAAGCTGGGGCTGGGGATTTAGCTCAGCGGCATAAGTGCCTGCCTTGCAAGCAGGCAGTCATGAGTTCGATCCCTGGTACCTGATAAAAACGAAAAAGACAAAAAAAAAAAAAAAAAAAAAAAACCCTGGAAGCTAGCAGGTCAGTGATATTGCCTGAGGTTGAAGCAGGAGGGTCTTGAACTGAGGCTAGCTTGGGCTACAGCAAATCTCTGGTTAGCCTTGACCTTATACAATATTATGAACAGATCTGTGACCTCAATAGCCCCTGCAGGCACTTTTGTCTCAAATCCTGACATCATACAGACAGACACATGTGAACCACTCCCAAAGATCTCCTTCCTGCTGTCCCTTGCAATGAATCCAATCTCCCCACCATCCCTACCCGCCTTGGCAACTACTAATTAGTTGCCATGCCAAAACAGCTTCATTTTGAGAATATTCTTAAATGGAATCATGCAGTCACACTCAGCTGAGACTGACTTCTCTCACTCAGCACACAGCCCCTCAGATTCACCCAGGCTGAGTGAACCCTGCTAAGGAACACACCAGAGTATGAGATGCCATGTTTATTCAATCAGTCACTCCTTAAAGATTACTTAGGTTGTTTTCAGTATCAGACAACCACAACGAAGAAACTATGAATATTTACAGACAGGCTTCTGTACGAAAATGAGTTTTCATTTCACAAGGACAAAAGCTCAGGAGTGTAGGGCAGGTTTCACTTTTTAGAGAACTGCAAGAGATTCTTAACATCTCTACAGACTTTTGAAAACATAAAGTGGGTTTTTTCAAAAGCCATTCTAGGGCTGGGGATTTAACTCAGCGGCATAAGCACCTGCCTTGCAAGTGTGTGGTCGAGTTCGATCCCTGGTATCGATAAAAAAGAAAAACAGGAAAAAAAAAAAAAGCCATTCTAATAGCTGTGCAGTGAGATCTCTTATTTATTTTTTTGTCTTTCTTGAGACAAAAAAATAAGTGAGGCCTGGACCTCACTTTGTAGCCCAGGCTGGCCTCGAACTCAAAGACATCCTCCTGCCTAGCCTCCCAAGTGCTGGGATTACAGGTGTGTGTCACCATACCTGACATAGTGTTATCTCATTTTAGGGTTAACTTTTATTTCCCTACCGGCTGGCAATGTTAAACATCTTTTCATATGTTTAGATAGTTCGTACTTTTTTTTTTTTGTACCAGGAATCAAATTCAGGACCCTGCACTTGCCAGGCAGTTCTGCTGCCTATGCGGCTGAGCTAGAATTCCAGCCCTTATTTTTCCTTTTTTTTTCACTAGGGATTGAACCCACAGCCTTGGGCAGGCAAGGTAACAGCTCTACCACTAAGCCATATCCCCATATGTAAAAGATTTGCAATCTTTTATACATCTCAAGTGAAAAGCTAAAAATTAAAAAGAAATTTTTAATGAAAAAGACACTGCAGGGCCATGGATTTAGCTCAGCGGTATAAGTGTCTGCCTGGCAAGCATGAGGTCATGAGTTCAATCCCCGGTACCAAAAAAAGAGAAAGAGAAAAAAAAAAAAACCAACCAACCAACCAACAAACAAACAAAAAAAAAAACACTGCAAATTCTAATGCTTTGGCCCTAACCCTACTAGTGTACACTTAATTCTGCTTTGTGTTTGCATCTGGGCAATTTTCAGTATCAGTCCTATTACCAATCACTTAAGACTCATACACTCAGGGGTCTGGTGTGGTGATATATGCCTCTAATTTTAGCAGTTGGGAGGCTAAGGCAGGAGGACTGCCATAAAGTTGAGGTCAGTCTGGGCTACACAGTGAAACCTTGTCTCAAAAATTAAACAAAATAGGGGCTGGGGATTTAGCTCAGCGGCATAAGCTCCTGCCTTGCAAGCAGGCAGTTGTGAGTTCGATCCCCGGTACCGATAAAAAGCAAAAAGACCAAAAAAAAAAAAAAAAAATTAAACAAAATAAAATTGTAACCAACAATTTCTGTAAAACAGAGTTCCAAGTTTTACCCTGCTGAGCACACAGCAAAACCCTCCCCACTTCAGGCCAAAAGAAGTGACAGAATATGCACATACCAGTCCTAGGCCACGAGCCTAGTTTGTTTTCCATAAAAGGAAGATGGGCTGAAGATGGCTGTATGCAATACAGCAGGTGTAAAGAGCTGCACTACCTCTCTGTGTGCCCCTTCTCCTCTGTTCTTTACCATATAAAAGACCCTTGCCCACTTCTAGGCAGTGAGACAATGCTTTGAAGCAAATAACCCCTTCCATTTACTCGGAGCTAGCTTTAAGTAAGTCTTTTTCCTTTTTACCTAAACATATGGCCTCCTTTGATATGGTCAGCGGCAAGCAGATGAACCTGGCTATGTGAGTCCTGCTCTGAGTTTTTTGTTTGCAGGGTTGACAGTGTAAATGGACAAATCAGCATTCTACTTACTAAAGATGCTCCTAACACTTAAGAAGATGGAAAAAAAAAAGTAGACCCAATATAGTGGAGGGTGCTGGACCCAGTATCCACATACTTGCATCCCATCCATTCTCTGCTACAAACCTGTATGACCCCAGCAGCATCATGGCCATCCTGGGACCTTCTTCTGTTGTTAAACCAGCAAATGAGAAATACGTTACCCAAAGAACAACCTTAACCTAACATATTAAGGTAGAGTTATTGATTTTACTTTTTGCTATTTCATTTTCCTATAACAGTACATTCCAGGAAGACTTAAAGCAATAGCAAGGACGCATAGCCTGGCAAGGCGGCAGAGGGATGAGAGGGAACTAAATACAGGTTACAGTGGAAAATGGGGCCCGACCACAGGTTTCTCAAAGTAACTAAAACCCTGCCGACAGGACCCACATGAGCTTCCAGCCTTACAGCTTACACACTGTGCCTGACGGCGCCTAAATTTCATCTCCAAATCTTTTTTGGGAAACAGACTGAGATACACGACTGCCGCCTCAGCAGCTCCCAAGGTCCAGACAGTGCCCGTCCGGACAGTGACAGCACTTAGCACTATACGACCCAACTCTCGAAACCCCTCCCTAATGACTCAGGAGCAACCTGCCCGATGCTGAGGCCGCGGCGGCCGCGATGGAGCCAGGACACGCTTGCAGCAGCACGACCACTCCCGTCTGCGGGACTCAGCTCCTGCAGCTCCTCACTTGGGCAATGAACCCTAACCTGGCTCCGTCCTTGGGCATTAAGTCCGAGTCACTCTGGACTTTTCTTCCTCCGCTCACTTATCAGTAATCCGGCGTGGCTTCACACTACAAACGCCCCCAGAACCCTGCCAGCTCCCCCCACTGCTACCTTAGCTGAAGCTACCGGCCCACCTCGCTTCCACTACGGTGAGAAGCCGCTCCATGCTCCCATCCCCTTCCTGCCCCCCGCCCGGCTGGGCTCCTCGGAGGACAGGGCTTCCTACACTTGGACCCGTCTAGCCCAGACAGCCCACTCTCCTGTGGCCGCGTCAAGGCCGGGCGAGGCGCCTACCTGGGCCAGGGTCCGCGGGAGCGTGAGAAGGTGGGGCAGGAGTCCTGTTCCGGCCCAGGCCCTGCGGCCGCTTCTCCAACCGCCGCACCAGCCAGCGCACGGCGAAGAGAAGCACCGAAGCGCCCAGCAGCTCCCAGGCCAGCGCCGCCCACTCGGCCGCCGCTAGCCGCGGCCACAGCATCGCCGCGCGGACTAGAGCGGGTCTCGGCCTCCGCCAGTAGCGTCGCCCTTCCTGTCAGGACCCCGGCCGCCCGGCCCCCCGCCTTCTGCTCGCGCCACGCCGAGGAGGACGGAGCCCGGCAGGGCTGAACGCGGATGCCACGTCGCCTCTGTCCACGGCCCGGCAAGCGAGCGTGGCCAAGCCCAGACCCAGGCAGCACGGGATGCGGGACTCCTGATCCATGCACGGCGCCGTCAGGCAGCGCCACGGCCAGCCGTGGGGTCCTGACTGGGTCGCGTCGCTCGGGCGGGCGGATTTAAGCGCGCCCCGGCCGGCCGGCGGGAGGCGCCCTTCTCGCACGGCGCCACAAGAGCCTAAGAGTACGTGCTGGGGCTTCCGGTACGGGATGATGTTCCGGAGGAGAGAGGGGGAATCCAGTGGGGAGGACAAGTTATCAAAGGACGCTGGGTCAGGAGCTGGTCAGTTGGGCTTTCCGCTGGAAACCGCGCAGGCTCTGTCTGACACTCACGTCGGGTCTGAGCGAAGAAGCCAGTTGCGATTTAAACGTACGCAACAGCCCCAGAAGCCCTCCTCAGAGGTGCTGGGTGGCGCACACTTTATTACCGACAGTTTGGGAGGCTGAAGTGTAACGTAGTGATTTAGGGAGATTTTGTCTCAAAGTAAAAATTTTAAGACGTCTGGAGATGTAATTCAGTGCAAACGAAGGCCCTGGATTCAATCTCCAATGCCCAAACAGAAATCCTTGCCTTGGAGTTTTGCCCAGCGAGACAAACACAGCTGCTTCTCTAGGGCAAAGTGACTTAAAGCGTTCAGGAATATGTGGGACTTTGAGAACAACTGACCCAAGGGAGGTTGGGGTGGTGGTAGTATGGAGTTTGGAGGAGCTGTACTGCACTGGACATCAGACTAGGGCCTCAGGCATGCTAAGCAAGCTCTCACCGAGCTACATCCCCAGTTCTTTTTTTTTTTTTTTTTTCTGTTTTTCGTACCAGGGATCGAACTCAAAACCTCGCGCTTACCACGCAGGCACTGTGCCACTGAGCTATATCTCTGGCCCCTGTATTTTGTTTTTGAAATAATATTTTACTCTCACTAGAGTATCCTTTGGGGGAAAAAAATAATAATATTTTACTGTGTTTGGGACCAGGCTCTGCGACGAGTCCAGTGCCTCTGATATGGCCTGCTTTAGGAACTGAGAAGTACAGGGAAGGCCTATGCTTCCTGGCTGTGCAGAGAAAGCACTGTAACCACAGCATTTCTGAGACAGATAACATCTGCTGAGGACAATCTAAAAATTGCATGTATATTGATATGGAGAGGGACTTGTTCTCCAGTAAAATTGTTCCCCATTTACTGCAATAGCTGTTCCATGAAGGGTATACTGCCCCTTACCCTCTACTTCTTTGCTAATAAAAGTGAGAGTCAACTGCTCAGATCAATGTGCCTGTCCACTAGAGGCACGTATTGGTCCCCTTGTGTTGGGAGCCGCAGCCCCGAGCCCGGTCGCCTCACTTGGTGGACGTGAGGCCTGTAGTAAAGAGTAAAGCCTGAGGTAGATTACCCCTCCCATCGAGCACGTTAGTTTCCTGCTTACCGGGTAAGCAACCCGCTCAACAATATAGTCTGCCTGGCAACTGATGATGTTAGCCAATCAGCTTGCCTTGCTTACTTTAACATGATTGGACACTGTATCCGTATATATACTGGTGCCACCCCTGGGGGGGAAGAAGAAGCCCGGAAGTAAAAGCCCAGAAGGAGCCGCGGGGAGCGGACCAAAGGAGGCTTCGGCTGGGAGCGATCCCAGGGCAGGCTGTACGGAGAAGGAAAATAAAAGAAAAGGTTGTCCACTGCCAGACTTTGTCGTGTGTCCTTCCTGCCGGCCAGGAGCGACATCGACATTTGGTGGCCCGTACGGGGACTGATCACCCCCGAGACGTGACAGCGGACAACGCTCCAGTACAGAGCTGCGAGACAGGTGAGTTGGGGATAAGCCTGGGCTCTGGGTGGCGCGCACCTACAGGGCTTTTAGACTCCCCTCAGGCTCACGCGTAAGTGGCGGATTCCTTGGGCCTCACGCGGTGAGTAACATATTAAAAAATGGGAAACATGCTAGGTAGCAACACTAAGAGCGAGGGTGGTTGTGGAGAAAGCTCTCAAGAGCTTACAAAAGTACGCAGGGTATTTGAGCAGGCCCAGTCGGGGAGCTCCCGAGAGGGGCCCGTCAAGGGGAACAAAGATGCTAAGGAGAAGGACGGGGCTCTAGCCTCGGAGTCGTCTGACTCCGAGGACGAGGGAAAGTTGAATGGCAAGGAGGCCAAAGAGACCAGCTGTCAGGAGCCTAAGTCGCTCGATAAGGAGTCGCAGGGTTCCTTCCCAGCGTTGCGCCGTGAATTGCGCTCCGCTCAACTTGGTCTGCGGAGGAGTAGGGAGCTCCTGAGCGCTCCCCGGCGCGAGAGGGAGGCGAAGCCTTCCGCCCCACCTTGGGGGGTGTTCCCGGAGGCGATCCCTCGCCGCGAGGCGGCCGCCCGGGAGCTCCCTTCCTCTTCGCCAGAACAGGAAGTGATGCACGGGCCCCCATTTTCCGCCCAATCATGGCCGCCGTCTTATGCTCCGCCGCCGGCGGGTCGGTATTTTTACAGGCGGCTTTGGCAGGGGGGACGTTTGTCTCATGAGGTACATCCACCACCTGGGATAGATAGTGGCCCCTACGGGATATTTCCTGTACAAGTAGCTATGGGCCAGGGACGTAATGCATGGGAGCCTTTTGAGATAAAGCAGATTAGAGAACTTAAAAATGCAGTTACAACCTTTGGGCCGACTGCGCCTTACACCATTGCCATGCTGGAGAACCTGTCTTCTGGGCCCCTCACCCCCGCGGACTGGATTCAGCTGGCAAAGGCGTGTCTGCCCTCGGGTAGTTACCTGGATTGGTGAGCCTGGTACGCAGAGTTCTCTGCAGAGCAGGCTGAGAGAAACGCCAGTCGGGGAAACCGGGGGTGAAACAAGGAAATGCTTATGGGAGAAGGTCGGCACGCTGATGATCAGACTCAGTTCCCCGGCGCTGTCTATGAACAAATCAATGCCATAGGGCTCCGCGCCTGGAAGCAGGTAAGTGGTGCCGGAACAGCCTCCTTGTGTCTTTCAAAAATAATTCAGGGTACCACAGAGCCATTTGTTGACTTTGTGGCCCGAATGCAAGATGCTGCCGATAAGATATTTTCTGATCCGGGAGTGGCTCGACTGCTGGTAAGGCAGCTGATTTTTGAGCAATGTACAAAGGAGTGCAAGGCAGCGATAGCTCCTCATAAGAACAAGGACCTCAACGCCTGGATTAGGATATGTAGAGAGATAGGGGGGCCGCTCTCCAACTCGGGAGTGGCTGCTCTCCTGGCCGCGGCTGTACAGCAGAGGGGACCTCGCGGGTTAGAAGGGAAATGTAAGGCTAAAGGGTGTTTTGCCTGCGGGGAGCCAGGACACATTAAACGTCATTGCCCAAACAATACAGATGCTAGGCCTCGCCCTAGGAATGAAGAACCATATGTTTGTGGGCGATGCAAGAGGGGATCACACAAAGCTGAGGAGTGTAGGTCGGTCTTTGATGCTCAGGGCAACCGTATTTGTGGACGAGATGCTAGAGGGCCAAAAAATGGCCAGAGGGGGCCCCCTTCACAGGCGGGCCCCCGCCCCAGAGACAGGACAGCTCAGGATGGCAGCCTTCAACAAGGGCCACCCCTGGGTCAGCAGGTGTGGACCTCAGTGTCGCCTCCAGACTTATATTAGTGCCTGATATGGGTGTTCAAGTGGTTGAAACCACCTTTAAGGGACCGTTACCCGAAAATTCTGTGGGTCTGGTGATCGGGAGATCCTCCACGGCCCTTCGGGGTCTCATAGTAGTCCCGGGGGTCATAGACTCAGACTACACAGGACACATTAAAATTATGGTTCAATCTCTTGTGGGTACTATGGTAATCAATAAAGGAGACAAGATAGCGCAGCTCTTGCTGCTCCCCAGTCTCCACAAGAGATTCCCCTCAAAGCAGAAAATTAGAGAAAGTCAAGGTTTCGGTTCCTCAGGGGAAGTCTTCGAGGGACTCCATATAATACTTGATAAAAGGCCCATGCTCTCACTTAAGGTCAATGGCAAGAATATAACAGGGCTCCTAGACACAGGAGCTGACCGTTCCATTATCTCTAGAAAGGATTGGCCCTCCAACTGGCCCACCAACACTGCAGATAACACGCTGCAGGGCCTGGGGATGGTGTCAGCTCCTCAGGTTAGTGCTTCAACCCTGTTCTGGTGCGATGAGGAGGGTCATCAGGGCCATTTCCAACCATTTGTGTTGCAGTTGCCAGTGTCTCTATGGGGAAGGGACATCCTCACTCAGATGGATGTCACGCTTACGTCAAACTGCTCCCCCCAGGCTAAGGATATACTCAGGAACCAGGGATATACCCCCGGCAAAGGCTTGGGCAATGCCCTACAGGGTCGGACATCCCCAATACCAGTAGAGAACAAAAAAGGTAGGCAAGGGCTGGGTTTTTCTTAGGGGCCGCTGAAGAAGCTCTCCTACCCACTTCGATCAAAATCACCTGGAGGTCAAATGATCCGGTTTGGGTACCTCAGTGGCCCCTGCCTAAGGAGAAGCTATTAGCCTTGTCAGAAATAGTCAGTACACAACTTAGATTAGGACACATTAAGCCGTCAACCTCCCCATGGAACACCCCCATTTTTATAATTAAGAAAAAGTCTGGCAAATGGAGGCTGCTCCATGATCTAAGGGCGGTCAACGCGCAGATGCAGTCCCTGGGGGCGGTCCAGAGGGGGCTGCCAGCTCTCTCAGCCATCCCTCAGTCCTGGCCAGTTTATGTTATAGATCTTAGAGACTGTTTCTTCTCAATCCCCCTGCATCCAGAGGACACTCATAGGTTCGCCTTTACTTTACCCACCATTAACCAAAAAAGCCCTGATCTCAGATACGAGTGGATAACGCTGCCCCAAGGTATGGCCAACAGTCCCACTATGTGTCAGATTTACCTTGATTCCCTACTGGCCCCCCTACGGAAATCCTTTCCCAAGATAAGATGTGTGCATTACATGGACGACCTTTTGCTCAGCGGCAGGGACCCAGACATGCTAAATAATATGCTCGGCCAGTTGGTCGAGGCCCTGAGACAAGCTAATCTACATGTT